TTTCAGAAAGGCGGGGCATAGAGGAGAAACAATAATGTACAGTATGTGGAAAATAATGTGTTTTTTGAATCTTAAACCACATAAACACATTGCATTACACCAAATACACAAAATAATGTTCTTTTTAGCAACGTCATATGACCCCTTTAACAATAACAACACCACTATGGACATTTTTGTTTAATTTTGTGCTATCTGAAATCCTGAAGCAAAACCGCTCAAGAACAACTGGTGTAAGTAATGCCACACTTACTCAAATCTTGTGGTGCTCAGATGTGCCCATGATGATAGTCATAGCAGTCAACCAAATACACAACATAATGTTCTTTTTAGCAACATCATATGACCCCTTTAAAGAGGACTCAAGTGTGAAAACACCCTAAAACCCTGAGGCTCGTGACGATACATTGATGTGTAAAGACACGAAACGATTGGTCTGTGCAAGAAACTGAACAGTATTTATAGCGTTTTTTTACCTCTGATTCACCACAATGTCCAAACTGTCCTGAGCGCGTTTGCATGACGCGTCTTCTTCTTCTTGCTTTACGGCAGATCACAGACTATTGACCATTGACACTCCTAATTGAGATTGTCGATAGAGTGTCAATGGTCCATTTGAGAGATAGGTGGCGGTAATGCACTTATAAGTCTGCGATCTGCCGTAAAGCAAGAAGAAGAAGACGCGTCATGCAAACGCGCTCAGGACAGTTTGGACATTGTGGTGAATCAGAGGTAAAAAAACGCTATAAATACTGTTCAGTTTCTTGCACAGACCGATCGAGTCGTGTCTTTACACATCAATGTATCATCACGAGCTGCAAGGTTTAATTTGGTTTTGTTTGTGTATGTTTTTTTGACTCTCAAAGCCGTGATTGCCATTCACTTCCATTATATGACTGACAGACTGCAATGGTTTGAGTTAAAAATCTTTGTTTGTGTTCTACTGAAGAAACAAAGTCACCTACGTCTTGGATGCCCTGGGGGTAAGCAGATAAACATCAAATTTTCATTTTTGGGTGAACTATCCCTTTAAGTAGTAATGGTGTCTCAGACCTCTTTGTGTTCAGACTGTTGCTTTTTGGATCTAGTCCAAAAAGTATTTTGTAAATCAACTTTGCTACAAATACTGTTGAATGACACCGCGATGCAACAAAATACTATAGAACCCATTATAATCAGTGATGCTGTCTACACTGGATGTGGCGCGACACGACACGACAAATCCCCGACAGTAAACTGATGCCTCGTTCTATTTATGATGTTCTGACACAAAATTCAAATGATTTGCAACAGTCACTTTGTCGCGTCCAGTGTAGACAGCCTAGCTGTTGCAGCGTGGAATGACAACTGTCACATTTGGTGTAGACATTTGAAGCTGCATTGAAACTGCAATTTGGACCTCCAACCGGTTAGTCCTAATTGAAGTCCATTATATGGAGAAAAATCCTGGAATGTTTTCCTCAAAAACCTAACTTCTCTGGAAGTAAACTAATCCTTTAAAATCCAATTTCAAGCACTACAGAAAAATATTTCCTGCTGTATACATCCAGCATCCCCTTAACCCTACCTATGACAAGCAATTTGGTGAATGGTTTGACATGTACAGTGCATTTACCTGCTTTGAGCTCTTTTCTTTAACTCTTTAGCTCTGACCCTCTTCTGCAAGTCCTCGAGTTTCCTGCAGGGCTCAGTCTGGAGGCCAAGCTCACTTTCATCTTCTGGAGGGCTTACAATGTCACAGAAGAACAGGGAAACATCAAAACCTTCTGGCTTTGTAAGGTGCATCAAGTCTATGACCACACCTAAGGAAAAACAACATAGATTATAAATTGGCCATCAACCAGCAGTAAGACTGTGTAATTTTCCCCTTCTATTCAGCCTACCTGTCTCTTTAAGGTCAGCAGCCTTTGTACGAGCCTGTCTGTCTTTAGCACTGTCTCCTCCGTGAGGGTCATCCCTGCAAGTGAAGATCATCAGGCGCTTGTGTGACAGTCGCAACTTGATGTCACTATATAGGTTGGAGCAGCACCACAGAGCCTCTCCAAGGGAAGTTTCCCCACTGCCCATGGTCTTTTCAGCCAATTGAGCACCTTTCTCACCCTGCAGTTTATCAATATCCTGTACATGCTTGGCTCCTGAAAAGGTAATCAATACATGAGATAACTTCATCATATATGCAATCTGAAAAGCACAAAGAGTAAGTTACCCACCAGGAGAATCCAAGTCGTGGTAGACGTAGACATGCTTGAAAGAGTTTCTTGGGTTCTTGCTCTTCTCAGTCCCATAGAACACCAAAGCGACCAGGTCTTTGTCACTGCTTATGATCTTACTAGTGTACACACTACGGACACACTAGATACAAGGGAGAATAATGCCTATTAGACTTGCACAGGAGAAAAACAGAAGAATATATTGCGAAAATAAAAGATAATGAATGAATAAAATGTTACAGTTTGACTCACCTGCATAGTCATGTCAAAATTTGATGGCCCTCCATCCTCACCCTTGATGAACATCTCTTTGGATGCATCAACTAAAAACACCAGACTGTCGCGGCCGCTGATTTTGTAAGCACCTATGAATTTAAAAGTAATAGGAATTTATATTTACTTACATCTTAATTTAACATAAGTAAGTTTAATGGAGTACAAAGCGTGCAACTTATATCAAAGAGGACAATTAATGCAGTTAGCTGTGCTAACCTCCAGAATCCTCTTCGTCCTCCTCAACCTCGTCGTCTTCGTTTTGATAGTACTCTCTCCACTCCGCCATTACTCTTCGCTTTCTCTTAGAACCGTTTCAGGGTTGTTTGCAATTAAAGTTGGGGGAAAACCAAGCAAATGTTCTTAAATTTAAGATTCTCTCTTCAGCAAGAGAACTTTGTATCCCTAACCGAGCATGCGTGCATCCAGTCAGTGCGCCACAATTTGAGTGACAGCTCCATAAGCGTATCAGAGACGACAAAAACCAATGGCGAGACAAAAGCGGAGTGAGTGGTTAATCATGCACGAGGAAGTAAACAAATGTTTCTGTGAGCCGCGTTAAGTTTAACATAATAATAACTGTTTACCATTTGTAATGGTACTCTGATCTTTTAAAACAATAATATTTACCATTAAAAATGAAAGAGGTCAAACATTTTCATAAGTGGCCGTGAACAAATGTTTCAACTAGGGATGGGCGTATCGATCCCAAGTATCGATATATCGATACTGACGCGAGTATCGAAAGTATCGATACTCAAACAAAAAACTATCGATACTAAGGTGCATTTTATTTACCAGTGGTTTTGTTTAACAAAAATAATAATAATAATAATAATAATAATGCGTACAATATGCATTGAATTGGACAAATAACCTTTGTTAGCGAGTAATTGTGTAGGATAGAACTATTTTCCTGCTCATCTGAACACACGCAAATGTTGCAAGACAGAACCAATCAATCACAGAGAGCGTTCACTCACTGCTGACAGTGCATTCAAACAGGGCTGCGTTTCCCAAAAGTATCATAAGAAAGCATTAAAGCTTTTGGGAACGGCAGCCCTGAACAATGCTTATCAGAGGACAGAAATGTTTTATTTCACAGAGTTATTTCACAATAAACAAATTGTAATTGCACAAACTATGTAGGCTACAATTTCAATTATTTAAATTGAACGTTGAAAGATAATTCATTTAAAGGTTGCATTTTATGCATGCAACAGCCATTCACTGGCAGTCCCTAATGGCAGTACAAAATATTGCACTAAATCAAAAGTTAAAATGTTACAAATAAGTTCGAATATTAATGTTGTAATACTGGTAGCACTAATATAAAAATGTGATGATATATGTTACAAAAAAAGTAACAATTTTGAAATACGTTGATGGTTGTATTTTTTTGTATTTGATCTCAGTATTCCTATTAGTGTTGTATACGTTTTTTTTAATGCATAATAGTAACCCTAGAATGTGATCAAACAGTTTAAAATAGCTGGGCTAAGATATATAACAATTTTTAAGACTGCAGAAATATGTTAATTCAATATACACATAATCCCACAGGTTACAATTGTGACCGACCATAAAAGAAAAATTTTCACTCACTTTTCCCAAACTTTTTTTTTTTTTTTAAATGATTGATTATTTCAAAGGGGTACATCATTTGGATATTTTCATGTCTGGGAAAAATCTGGAATTAAATGGGTTAAAATGCGTTTTAAACAAAGTTAAGTGGTTTTCATTACCCATTTTACTCTTAGTAATTTAATAATTTCATAATTTAAAAGTTTAGTGCAAAAGTATCGAATCGGTATCGATATCGACGATACTGCCTTGAAAAATATCGGTATCGTATCGAAAACAAAATAAGGGGTATCGCCCATCCCTAGTTTCAACCTCACTCGGAACTTTTCTTTGATTGACTCGGTTCCCAACAGAGATCTGAACTATTTGTCCACGACTCGAGCTGGTTCACAGCGATTCTCGAGTGAACCGAAAAAACTTGCCCGACTTGTAAAGTGTGAGAATTCGGAGTCAAGATTTGACCGATGGGGCAAAAAGTTCAAGCGAATTAGCTTTTAAATGACTGTACGGCTGCAACAAACGTAGCAAATGAAATTACACTAGATACCTTTATTAATCAAACCTATTCGAAATACTATAATAAACATCAATATGTGCCAGGTGTGGCTTTATTTAAGTTTTAAAGCATGTTTACGCACCGCCGGTGTTCTGACGATTTGTGCTACCCTGTCCAGATTTAGCTACCTCCCATTAAAACTGTAGTAGCATAATTCGATAGCGAAAAGTGCTACATATCAGATTTTGCTTCCAGCATGATATTAATAAGATCTGTGAGGCTTTATTAACATGTACACCTACCCTTACAGTAGGATAAATACAGTGTTGGTAGCATTATTTGTCAGAACACCTGGATGTCAGGTAGGAGTCGCTAAAGCGGAGTTTTGAACTAGCTATGAAACGAACTGTTGTTCAAACGAACCGAATCTCGAGCAGGACGTCCGCTTACTAGTTGATTCTGTGGTGGGTATGAACGTCGTCATATTTGTTTATGTAAAAATCGCCATCTAGCGTTTTGGAGGTTATTACAGATGTCTGGCAGCTGTATCTGTGCTGCCATCTGTCATAACCGGTATCGAAATATCTCGAGTCACTGTGACGACGCGGACGTAAACGCTGTGTTTGATTTGTCAGCAATCCGTGGTTCATTCTGTTCTTAAAATAATTTGAACCGACAGCGAATGCGTTCCTTGTGTGAATGTCTAATGCGATGGTGTAAATGTGAGCCAGCAAAACACTGAAGTCTGGTTTTTCGAGTTCAACCAGAGCGAGAAACTCAAGCTAAGTTGCAGTTTGCTAGCTGTAGAGTTGCGCATTAGTTTGTAAACACGTTTGTTTAAAGCCGTAGCGATGGCTGACGGAAGTTCTTACAGCGTGAAGTTGTACATTTATGACCTGTCAAAAGGACTGGCCCGTCAGCTGAGTCCCATGATGCTAGGTGAGCTCTGCAGCTGAAGTTGTCAAGGGAAGTTAGTGATGCTTCTAGAATAGAGATGTATGTTTTACTGTTGAAAAATCACATTTGGAAGTATGTAAAGAAATGACTGATTGCAATTCTTTATCTAAATTGACAGGAAAGCAAGTGGAGGGAATATGGTGAGTTTTTGGAAACCTTGTTACTTATTATCAGGCAGTGTACAGTATACAGTAGAGTCCAAAGGTCTGAGACGACTAGTGAAAGAGTTTATATTTTGCATTTGTTTAATTTGAATAAACAATTGAATTTAACGTCTTTATTTTAATGCATTATTCTTGGATTACTTAATGAAGGCACACCTCTGCAGTGGTTTATGGGGAAGAGTTTTTCTATGGAGGAGGAGGCATAACAAGCTGCTTTCCGGTAAGAAATGATCAATGCATGTTTATGAGGCATTTGTTGCTCAAGATATCTGACATCAAATAGGGCCTAATGACTGTAACCCATCATAATCATGAAATAATGTGATGTTTCAGGGTGGTACTATTCTAGGTGTGCCTGATTCCATAGTGGACCTTGGAAACACAGAAGTTCCTCGGGACCTTTTTCAGGAATATCTGTCTTCGCTCAGGGAGTCTACTTACAGGTCAGTATATCTTCGTTTTTTGCATTTAACAGGAAATACTATCCTATTTTGTACGCAGAGACAAAGAATGGCATACGTGTTTAGGAAAAGTCTCATAATTTTTTGCACAAAAATGACAATCTACATGTGAAAACCTGTGCTTCCTCCTTTTTTTCCACAGACCTGAAAAATACCACCTTTTTGAACACAACTGTAACACCTTCAGCTCTGAGGTTGGGCAGTTTTTAACAGGAACTAAGATTCCCTCATACATCACCGAACTCCCATCTGAGGTGCTCGCTACGTAAGTATGCCCTTACAACTCCAAATATGTCATTGTTGACACTAGTGGTAGTATTAGTAATACTGGACTGAATTACACTTTTCCTTCTCCATAGACCTTTTGGACAAGCACTCCGTCCTTTTCTCGATTCAGTCACCATCACTCCATCGGGGGACAATGGCATGAATGGATATGGCCAGTTGTAGATGTGGCTGCATCTAAAAATGTATTATTACAACAGTCATGAAGCTTGTGTCTCAGACTTATAATAGTTTACTTAAGTTTGACCCATTGTGTCGATATAAAATAGCATTTATATAAAAGCAGGTTTTCCAGATTTTCTGCTCAGTGCCTTTTCAAACTCAAATTGTTTGCAATAATCTTTAAAAATACAGCAAACTTTTTAAATAGATTAAATGTACCAAAGCAAATTGTATCAGGATTCCCCTTATCGGTCTGTAGGTGTCTCTGTTCTACCTCAACATGATCTGTTACTTCAGATGCTTTAAGAGGAATAGAGGATGAGAATTAGGTTGCTAAATATGCTATGGTGATTAATACTGATTAAAAGAGTGTAATTTAGAGTCCCTTATTTATGTGTAAATTAATTAGACAATTCATGCACTTTTGCCGTTTACTGTGCTTATAAAGTGCTGAACTCATTTTCAGATGTTTTACTCAGTCACTCTTTCTTTAATCAGTCACTCCCTTTGTACTGATTATTGACTCTTTCTGTGTTGTAACTAAGTTGTTATCTAAACCTTACCTTTCCTCAGGACAGCATTTATATAAATCCTAGAGTGCCATGAATATAGACTAAAGAGGGTTAAAGGGGATCAATGACATTACAGGAAGCACAATAACAGTATCACACAGATGAAGCTAATGAATGTTTTATAAAAATGTGCAGGACCCAATAGGAAAGTTGTTGTATTTTTCAAGTCTTTTGACTCTTGTCCATTTGCTTTTTTTATTTGTTACTCTGGTTGCAAATAGTAGTATAGACAGGAAAGATAGCATAGGAATGTGGCTTTAGTGACAAAAGACCATTACTAGTAATTATTTAACAAGCAGTATAGAATTCATAACTCAGTGGTCTAAACTGTGTTAAGTCCATAGGACCAGTGTAATCCTAACAAACACATTAGCAATGAGATATATTTATGTGATTGATTTTTAACCAATTTATAAAAATGTGTGTACAATTTTTATAACATGAGATTTTATATATGATAAGTATTACTAGTGATAATCTCACAATTACAATGATTTTATGTTCAGGTTATGCTGCCTGATTTATCTGTGCTACTGTTGTCCTGGTAATACTATTTGGAGCTCTTAATTTTCTGCCTCAAATAAACCTCATTCATGTGTAAATGTGTGTTAAACGTCATTGTGTCCCAGCTCTAAACAAATAAAGACATTCTGAAGGTATACACTCTATAAAATGCTGGATTGTTCCAACCCAACTTTGGGTCAAATATGGACTAACCCAACTTTTGTATTAAAAAAAAACAACAACAGTTGGGTTAGTCCATATTTGACCCAAAGTTGGATTGAAACAACCCAGCATTTTTTTTTAGAGTAAAGATGTGGTGGTTTTGTTCTTGATTGTTAGGTTGCATGGCTTTAGTAGCATTGTTATTTTAGTATTATTGAGATATTATTTTAATTATTTTTTTGTTTTCATTTAAACATTTTAGTAATTTCGTTACATATTTTTATAATTTGTAATATGTTTTAAAGTTTTACTTCTTTAGTACAAGTTATTATAACTTAAAATGAGAGATGTTGCTTTGGCAAGCTGAAATTATTTTTATAATAATTTATGTTAATGTTTATTTATAGTTCAAGTAAAGAAAATGTTTTTTATATGGCTTATTTTTACTTTAGGTTTTCGCTAAATAACCCTGTTAAATAGTATATAATGCTAAATGAACTCCAATATATGCATATTGTATGTTTTACATCTAAATGTATAGGCTGGATGATTGATTTGAATTATACATTTGTTTAACTACCTTAAGCTTTTTTTCCGTAATGTTTCAGATTATTCTACGATAAATTAGTAATTCCAAAGCCAACACTATCCCCCCTAAAAAAGTCTTCCATAGTTAAATTCACTTTAAAAAGTTTACACGCAGAAACACGTACAAGTGCAACAGTCTGTACTTTTAAAGTTGTGTATAAATTGCATTATCCTGCTTACATCTTCTTCTTAGTGGTTCTTTATACATAGTGAAAATATGCTGATGACAGGTTAACTAAGGCAGTCTTTAAAAAGACAAGAAGAGAGCTTTCTTTTTATTTGTACTCTATGTCCGCTTATAATCCACAAAATGATTTAAAGTTTTCCAGCTTTGTTGTTATGAATTTGAGGCTTGTAAATCCACCAAATCAGATACAGACTCTCATTTTTATAGCATTTATGGTTGGCATTCACATGGCAGTTTCCTTTTGGGTCCACTCACACAATCCCTTGACATTTATATGATTTCATGGGCTATGCAACTAATTAACCACTATACAACTTTTCAGGGTGTAATCGTCTCATATTACTGTCACAAGCAGATAAAAAGATTTTACATCTAATCATGTGCATAATTTCCTGTACCATTAAAATTAGAGGTCAAACGGGAGCGAGAGAGTGACACCATGCTTATGAGATGAGCAGACATTTTAGAACATGCATGTCTTACAGAGCATACAAAAATACATATATAAAACATAAAATGAAGCTGCATAAAACATAATCCTTCAAATGTTGGTGGAATTAAACATAATCTGACTGTTGATGTTTGCAGCTCAGGCTGTGGTTTACATCGAAGAAGTAATCCGTTGTGCAAGAAAGTGTTTTTTTTATGTAGTTGCATGTTGGTTGTGTGAATTAGGTAGGCGAGGTTGGAATTGATTTTAGTGCATTATAGAGACATGATGTTATGTTTTGTATACCTTATGTTTTTGTTATTAGGACTTTTAGGTTATGCTCTGTTCCTGTTTCCTGTACCACATTCTGTAGTCCCTTTGTAGTTTTCTTGTTGATTAGTTCCCTGATTATGTCTTGTTAGTCTATATAAACTCCAGTGTTTCCTATGTTCTTTGTCAGGTCTTGTCAATGTATTGCTGTAGTGTTGGTATGCTTAGTTTTGTTTCTTGTATTCCTTGTTTTTATGGTATCTTTTATCTTTCTTTGATAAACCTTCTGCATTTGGATCCTGCTCTCCCTCTTCTCTGAGTTTGCCTACTTTATACATGGGTGCACTATCACCCACCAAAAAGAAAAAAAAAAAGATTATTTTATATCTTCCAATATGCTGATATCCCTGCTGAAAATTCCAGCATTGCTGTTCACCAGCATAAGGTATGTTTCGCACGCTGGGACAAGCATGGAATGCTGGTTACTGGTTTGCTGGTTCCCAGCATGGGATGCTAGTTTGCTGGATCTCAGAATGGGAATGCTGGTGTGGTGGTGGACCAGCACATGTTGTTTTATGTGTGCTGGTATGGTTCTAACAAAACTTGTGTATGTGTTACATATCACATTTCTTATTGTGTGTTTGTAGTTAAATAAAGACCAAGACAATTTTCCAAATTAATATTAATAAATTATTTAATAAAGAAAAATGCTCGTTGCTGGTTACATTCATACTGGTACACAGTACAATCCCGTTAAACAAACTTTGCTCAGTTATAGAAAGTAAAGGTAACACTGAAGCAGTGTTGTGGTTAGTGAAATAAAGCAGATTCAGTCTACAAGTCATGATTGACCATTAGTGATGACATCTGAGGTTAACAAGCAGAATCAATGAAGACAAGAGGAACAACAAGAGCAAAGCAGAAATACATGAAATCCGCCGAATATGTCATCCGCCCGAAACTGCTTCCAGTGTACAACAGTGAGCGCAAGCTACATTAAAGTGATTATTAAATTTTGAATATGGATATTTTTCTTACAAAAACGCATCAATTCGTTACAGAAGGCCTTTGTTCACCCCCCGGAGCCGTGTGAAACACTTATTTTTATGCATGGGCGCATTTTAATTACGTGCTTTTGGACTGATGCATGCAACACCCGCTGAGTGCCATGAAACAGCTTGAAAGATCAAAGACAGTTTTTTATATAACTCCAACTGGATTCGTCTGAAAGAAGAAAGTCATATACACCAGGAATGTCGTGCTGGGGGCCTGATGATCAAGAAGGCTCCCGCGGATTCCTCTGACCTGGCCGCATGATCCAGGAAGCATGAAGCGGAACCAGGTCTATCATACCGGCTGGACATAATGTCGACGAGTGAGGTAACACTGCAAGTCGAGCACCTGGTTTCTGAATCCAGCAAAGGTGTGCTCACAGAGGACCTACCTTAGAGAGGACAGAAACACACAGGTCCCGGAAAAAACACTGCAAAGAAATCTCACAGAAGGATTATACACACATAACCACCAGCACATTCAATACATATATATATATATATAGAATGGATCATACTCACCCACCATGGTTCCCGCGCCGGAACCCCGTTCCAGAGGCGATTCCAGAGAAGCCTCTAGTCCGGACCATCAGTAAGGTGGTTGCTATGAAGTCATAGAACCAACCAAAACATCATAGGTCCAGCATAGGAGACTGTAATGCAGGAAATTCCTACCTAACCTCGGTCAGGTGGAGTGCTGGTGGTTATAGGGGAATTAGCAAGGGGAAGAAAAGGGCAGATGTAAAACCCCCGAAGGAAATGAGTAGATACTCAAGTATCCCTCTGATCTGGACGAAAGACCTGACGCCTTGTCTGGATCACATCCCTAAGGTCTTGCCTACCTCCCTTTGACCGGGCGGAGGGGGAGCGCGAGCCGCGACACTAGCCTTCTGTGCCCGTCTCTTATCCTCAGACCGAGACGGACCAGGACCCCTATGTTGTTCGGGCTCAGACTTGGACCTTCGTGAAGGCCACTGAGCTCGCCTTTGCCTCCCTGAACTTCTCGACCACCGCCTAAAAGGAGGTACCAAAAAATACGTAAGGCGAAACCGGCGCATCGAGAAGAAAGACCCTCTCTTTTTCCCGATATCTGCTAGGTTTACCCACAGATGTATGCGTGAGGAAAAACGGCCTCTTCCATTCCTTCTCGATCTCTGTATGGAAACAGGAAGAAAGGAAGGCTCACCTGAGCTGGAGGGTTATGGCCAGAAAAATAACGTTCATCGAGATACCTTGCAACGTCATTTTCTTCGCCCGCTTCACAGCAAATAAAGCCTCGCCATGGCGCGATTCATAACTTTCAAAAGCTCATCATACGCAGGGCAAGAGGATTGGGAAGGCTCAGCCTCAGCTTCTTTGCCCTCCTCAGACATTTCCTGCTTTTGCTGGGCTGAACCCAGTAGAGCATTGGCCCTTGATCAGACAATGTTAATGAAATAACATCATCCTCCAGCGGCTCACTCTCGTCCACAGCCGACGATCGCGAGAGGGAAAGCCCCTCTTCAAACTCATCGGCCAGCTCCACCTGCGATCCCCACGAGCTCATTCTCCTCCGCCGCCTCAGCAGCAGCGTGTCCTGAATCGCGGGAAGCAGATGGCTGCCCTTCTTTCCTTGAAAAGAGAGACAAACGAGAGCGGAGCTTTTTCATTCTGAGGTGCTTGTGAATAACTTTTCTCATTACTTTTCAGACATATTGAAGTCTATCACTGAATCCATTTCCAAAGACACCCCTCATACAACTGATTCAAATGTTCACTTGATGTCAGCTGACTCGGCTCACACAACATACTCTCTTTCTGCTTTTACTCTCACTACTTCTGCTGCCATAAGTGATCTAATTGTAAAGTCAAATTCTACCAGACAAATTGAAGTCTATCACTGAATCCATTTCCAAAGACACCCCTCATACAACTGACTCGGCTCACACAACATATTCTCTCTCTGCTTTTACTCTCACTACTTCTGCTGCCATAAGTGATCTAATTGTGAAGTCAAATTCTACATCCTGCCAGATTGATCCTTCACCTACTGTTTTGATTAAGATGTGTGTTCCTGAGGTTGAACCTTTCATAACACATATGATTAACTGTAGTATAGCATCTGCCATTGTTCCAGCAGAATTAAAAATGGCTGCGGGAACCCCCATACTTAAAAAAACGGTTCCTGACCATCTAGATATGAACAATTATAGGCAAATCTCAAATTTACCATTCTTAAGTAAAATTCTTGAAAAAGTTGTGGCTTCACAATTGAGATCTTACTTAAATGCTAATGGCCTTTTGAACTAATTGTGAAGTCAAATTCTACATCCTGCCAGATTGATCCTTCACCTACTGTTTTGATTAAGATGTGTGTTCCTGAGGTTGAACCTTTCATAACACATATGATTAACTGTA